ATTGCATGGGAGGAAAATACTCGGACCCAAAGCCATTTATGAGTATAACCTATTCTTTGGTCACTCTGGTGCAATTTAAGTTTCATTATCTTCTTTACTATTACTACTAATAACAATATTATTATCACTATTCTCATTTTCATCGTTCTCATCTAAGTGATTTACATCTTTCTTCTTCTCTTCATCGATCCAACGTTGGATTGCCTCAATGGTCTTTCTCCGCGGGGTCGTTCTTCGAAGATAAAAATTTTGTATTGTAGAAGCTGCAACAGCTTTTTCTTCAAGTAATTTATAAATTTCAAATGAGATTTTCTTAAATGAAAATTTTGGATCCGACTCGGTTCTTTTATCGTATAATTGTCTCAAATCATTCCACAACTTTTCGATTTCTGGCGAGTAAATTTGTTCGCTGGATGTTTCATTATTGATGATTTTCTGGACTTCATAGTCTTGGTCAGTAGTCCCATATTGCGGAGTTGACTGTTAGAAATTGTGCCATTTATCAGCAGGCCGAGAATAAAGCCAATAAATACTCCGAAAAAGAATTCGCTCGTAAATGTAAGCATTTTTTGTAGTGCTGTTCAGATTTGTTTTAACGATGTATTGTTTCAACGATATTTATTGCGTTGTGGTTGATTTTTGAAGTAAGTTAACCAGTGCTGTTTTTATAATAAATTTTTCGTTTGTTCATCATATACTGCGGATGATCATTAACCACGAAAAAATTTACCGCTCTAACCATGGCTACGCTTGAATACTGGCAGCGAAAAGAGGAGGAGGCGAAGGACGAATTGAACAACGCGAACGCGGCGTTGGAGAGGTTTAGAGAAGGAGAGGACGGACAGTGGTTGGCGGAGCTGAAGAGGAAGGGGAGGTTAGTGAGCGGGAAGGAAGACGGCTGGAGAAGCTGGAGAAGGAAGAGACAGATCTGACCCTTTTTTGCAAGCTTCATTTTCAGTTTTAAATTTCTGGAAACAGGATAAGGTAAGCCTACATGTTTGAATAAGCAGAAATATGTAGAAATAATAATTTTTAATATTTGTTTGTTCAATCATATATAGTATAAATCCTTCCGGAAAGCCTGTAACTGTCCAATGCTTATTATTAATTATGTGTCTAGCTGGACCTTGGTTGTGTATTAGTATTGCTGCAAGTATTTTCACAGACCACCTTGTTGTGGATCCATTGACAGACTTTGTTCCACTAGTACCAACAAAGCATCCTAATGAGTTGGACCATATTGCTAGACTATTTCAAGCATGGAAACTTGCAATTACAGACTTGAAGCACTTTTACCATACTGACAAAACTGTTGAATCTGCTTGGAGTGCAAAACATCTTTGTGGTTACCAGAATCTTTTTCCATATCCAAATTTGCTTATAATAGATGATAAGAAAGTAGAATTTACTTATGAATTTTGGATGTCAAGCTCAAAATCAATGTGCACAGCAACAATTTCAGATATGAAAACATTGATATAATTGTTAAATTTACAAAAAATTATTGTGGTGATGCACATAGGTTGTGTGCCTCTGAAGGTTTAGCACCCCAGTTATTTTGTGTGGATAGAGAGATAGTACCAGGTTGCACAATGATCATCATATACATGGAGAACATCAAAGAGGCAAAGCCATTGCATAAAATTACATTTAATTTGAAAAAAGATCAAGATCAGGTGTTTCAGGATATACAGCAAGCTATCTCTCTATTACATCATAACAACCTGGTATTTGCAGATCTCCGCCCAAATAATGTATTGGTATATGAGAAGGATCAGCTAAGGCGGGCAATGCTGGTAGATTTTGATTGGACTGAGGTTGCGGGAAAAGATTGCTATCTATTATTTATGAATCATGAGAATATTGACTGGCCAGCTGGTGCAATTAGCATTTTTGATGTAGTAAGACCAGCATTGGATTTAAATTGTGGGTAGATAAAAACTTATATGATGATATTCTGCATTTTTAATAAAGTTTGATTTCTATCCTGAGTATTAATTGCGGCCTCAATTGTGGTAACTTATTATGGCTAATCTAGTGTCTGCTATATAATGGAATACCAATACATAGGCAACCTCGATAAGTCGGACTCGTCGGGTCGGACTCCTGTGTCCGACTTAACGAGGTATCCGACTTAACGAGGCATCCGACTTTATCATAATAATAAATCATAAACGTACTTTTTATTTGCATGTTATGAGCTAATACAAACTGTTTTAAAATGTAAATATAATAGGTAATTCAATTTTTATAAAAAGTTTCTAATGTAGGCTGTTTTAGAGAAGCGATTCGCTTTCTTTGAATTTGACACTGAAGGTCTTTCAGTCCCGAGATTACCGATGCATTTGTTTTTATATCAGAACTATGTTGTAAATAATTGAATATATTTTGAATGCTATTCAAAGCATCCACATTTGATATTGAATTGCTTATGATTTCCTCTTCTCCTTCTCCTTCTTCTTCTTCTACTGCTTCTTGTACTGCTGCGATTATTTCATCTTCATCAATCATCTCGGTGCCTTCTATTCCGCCATCAATATTAATATAATCGCTTGCTGCGATATTGTCAACATTCATTTGATTGATAAGTAATTGAACCGCATTTTCTTCATCTTCCAATTCATTTTCTAATTCGTACATTTCTTCATCGGGCAAAATACCCGTTCTTTGCCAACAGCGATGTATTGTGTCGTCACTGACATTATCCCACGCTTGCGCGGTCCAGTTAATTGCATTTAAAACATTTAGTTTGGGAATATCCACACCAAGTTCTTGGTATTCATCAAACGCTCGAATTCTATCTTCACATAATAATTTTCTATAATGGGCCTAATAGAAAGGAAATAAAAATCCTTATTAAAACAAGTACTGTACATATGTATAAATATAATTACCTTGGACGAACTTATTACGCCCTGATCGATTGGCTGAAGATGGGAAGTTGTGTTTGGTGGAAGAAAATGCAGTCTAATGTTGCTTAATTCTTCTATTTCACCTTCTTCCAATTGATGTGATGAACAATTATCTACTAGTAATAAGATGTTTCTTCTCCGTTTTTGCATCTCCCTGTTAAATTGCTTAATCCATGTTTTAAAAATAGAACGTTGCATCCACGATGCGTTGTTCCAGTAATATTGTACAGTAAGTGTTCGTTTATCAATATGGCGAATATGGTGCGGACTTTTATATTTATAAATAAAGAGAGGGGGTAATTTGTGAGTTCCAATCACATTACAT